AATGGTGGGAACCCTCCACAAATCTAAGTTCCCAGATGCCAGGAAAGGGCTAGCTTTGCAGGTAGGCCTTTGGCTAGCAGTGCAGGGGCAGCTAACTTTTTCCTGCACGGGTAGCCAGATCACGCAGCACTTTACAGGCCATCTGAAAGAGCTGAATAGAAGAATGAATGTCATGACACCTGACTGGAATTTTAAATGATCATTCTAGCTTTTGTCTTGAGAAGAGATTGTAGCAGGGGGCATAAATAGAAAAACTAAAGTCCATGGGGGCGGGGGGTGGGGGGAAGCAAGCCCTAGCATGCTAACAGAAAAGCTAGAGAAAAGTGGTCAAATTCTAGATATATTGTGATAATAAAGTCAATAATATTTGCATATTGACTGTATATCTATCATAAGAGGAAAAGCGTAGTCAAGGGTTATTACAAGGATTTCTGGCCCCAGCAACTAGAAGGACAGTATCATCATTTAATGAGATGGGAAGCCTGCGGGAGGGATGGATCTGGAGTAGGTGATCCGGAGTTCAATCTGGGGCATGCTAAGTGTAAGGTGTTTCCTTAACATCCCAGCAAAAGTGTCCAGGAATCTTCTATATGGGAATCTGGAGTTCAGAGGAGAGATCTGGAGTGTCACTAAAGAGGTGATACTAGGAGCCATAGTGCTAGATGAGCTCATCCAAAAATATCTAAATCTCACTGAAAATGCCCAGAGCTTTGTTCACCACTCCTTGGTGGCCCAACTTCCTCCCAATATCAAAAATGGAGGATATATACCTCAGGCTGGTGCATCTCAGGCTCAGACTTCAACTTGTTCTATAGCTCACCTGGGTTTTGCTTATGTTTAAGTACAGGATTTAAGATTTTTAAAGGCTCTCTCTACTACCTGTGGATACAAAACAGTAGTAAATAAAGATCCCTTTCCAATGACAAACTTCTCCACAGAACAGACAGCAACGTCTATAAGCAAGTCAGGTTAAGGACTGCCAAGAATCTGAGCTTTGTTTGCAAAGACAGCTGAGAGACATCAGCAGAAGTGCTTGGGACCTGAACTGTCCATTAAGGTAAGCCACTTGTGACTATTTAAGTTGGTTAAAATTTAAAATTTAGTTCCTCCATAGCACTAGCCACTTTTCAAGTATTTAATAGCTATCCATGGCTAGAGGCTGCCCTATTGGAAAACACAGACAGAGAACATTTCCATCATCACAGAAAGTTCTGTTGGGCTGAACTGCTTTAGACTTTTCAAGAGAGGCCTGAAGTTCTGCATTTTAATACACCCCTTAGATGATTTTAATAATCAATCACCTCAGCAAACAGTCTCATTAAAACCTGCGATTATCATTTGTCCAACTTCCGGAAGGAGGAACTGTGACACACATACCCTGGGAATGAACACTGGGTTGGCTAAGCCATTTGAGCACAGTTCTCCAAGCCACAAAACAGGGCTGTGATAATCCCAACCCTGGCTGGGTATTAGAATCCCCGAGAATGTTTTTTTAAATACCTATATCCAGGCTCCACTCCAAACTCAGTGACTGAGAATCTTGGAGAAAGGAACTCAGGCATTTGTATTATTTAAAATGTTAAACGTTAAAATTAAAGGTGACTAATAATCAGTAGGGGCTGAGCCCCTGTAGGATACGGCTCGGTTACCCCTTCACCTGTGACACAGAATTTTGATGATAAATTAAACTAATTACTCAGTGATCCCCACCTTGACTATTTAAGACGACAATCTCCTCTCCACTAACTACTTAACTAAACTGGATTTAGAGCCCAGGACACTGACAGACTACCAGAATCCAAAGACAAGGGATCCCATAATTCTCGCCCATGAGTCAGCTCGCCTCCCCACTAGAGTTCATGGAACGGGAGGGCATGGAGAGGCAGCAGAAATGTCCACAACGCAGATTTCAGAGCATAATTAAAGCTTTCTCAGCTTCTTCAGCATCCTATCTACTTCTGGCCTTATCCGATGCTGATTCAGCTGGTCCCATACATTCCACAAATTCCAGTCTTCTGTTTCTTCTCAGCAAGAGGTGGCTACTTCTCTGATGCTGCCCACAAAATCCAGAATAGCCTCCTTGGCATCCACTTGCCCTCCAAACTTTAGAAACCTTGAATCTATCCTCAATCGTGAAATCTGACTTTCTCCCATCTAAATTATTCAGGGCCCCAGAAGAAACCGACTTAACTTACATTCAGTTCCCGCCAAATTTGTTCTCTCGTCAGCACTCTCTACCTGCATGCCTAAGAGGAACATTTTTCACACTTGATTTGCAAATCCTGCAATATTTGCCTCAGATCTGCACTGCAACAGATAATCGAGAAGAACGGTGGATGTCCCACCTCTCCGCAAGAAACAAAATTGCTATTGTTATGTTGTTGTAGCAGTTTGCAGATGGAATTTTCTTTTTAAAACCAACTGTAAAAAATAAACAAGGTGGGGAAATTCCAATGCATAATAACCTACTGGGCTGTGCAGTTCATGACAGCAAAAGGAACTGGGTTCAAATCCCGACTGCACTGTGTACTCGTCGCATCTCCGTCTCTTTCCCCCTCTCTGTAAAACGGGAAGAGCAGTACCCACCCTGGTGGAGTAAGTCATTTAACGCATGTAAGGCTTCTAGAACAGTGCCTGGACAGTGGAAGCACAAGTCATGTTAGTTGTTATTATTGCATGCAGGGTTTTAAACCTTACTGTTTAGGGAAACAAGCCTTTTAAATTGCTTTTACTGATTTAAAGAAATGAACTTATGACAAATTGTTTTTCAAATTGAATTTTGACATTTCTGGGTTTTTCCCATTATTTTCTAAATTCAGTGGATAAAAGCATGGAATTTGTCAGAGTTCTTTCTTGACATTTTAGTTCCATTAGGAATCCCATTTAATATTAGTTAGGCTTTATTATGATTACAATATTATTTAAAATGAAACTATGGGAGAGAAATATTTGGGGAAGGGAAAATATCACCTGCCACATATTAAATTGAGATTTTAAAAGCCAAAGAAGGGAGGGAGAATTTATAAGCTGCAGGTGACCTTTATATATTAGTGAATGTGGCATTTAAATGTAAACAGAAAAATGTAATGTCTGGTAATAATAGTAAACTGGATCAATACAATTACATTATGGGTTCTGTGATATTATAAATTATGCTTTCAGTCCAGAAATATCAATAGCTTTTTAACACCTTTTAAGATTAAATTATAATAGATTAAATATTGTCTAGTTAGTTCCCTGTGTGTTCTTTATAAGCTTACAGCTTACTTCTATTACTTAGCTACATGTACTAAACTAAATGTATATGATTTTACGGCATAAATTATTTTTAATAATGAGTTGAAAATAAAGTAATTCATCATTTCATTAAGACAATCTTTCAATAAGATCTACTTTAATAATTAGTCTAGAATAATGTTGTAACTATTAACCTTAGCTTACTTTCAGAAGTTAATAAAATATGACTTCAAAGACGATTGGTTACATGTGTAAATCTCAGTTTAACTGAATTATACAATGTAAACAGTGTAACTGAATTACACAATGTTAAAATAGCATAAACATTGTTACACTGTTGTAACAATGAAAAAAGCATTGAGGTGGATACTTATATAGTTTTATAGGCCTCTTTGTTTATTTTCCCTGCTCTACCTCAATTCTATTAGCAAAGAGTTCAGCTTTGGATACTCTATTTAATACATTTACAGACTTCTCACCAAACAGTGCTCAAATGTTTCACTGATCAAGGCAACAAACATGTATTTGTCCAGAGTAAAAAAAAAAATTGTGTATAATTTTTAGTGGAAGCACAGAAGGTGGAGAGATTTTTCTTAAATGCCCAAATTATATATTTGGAAGAAACAAATTTATTTTTATACTTTGGGTTACCTGTAAGACATTAAAAGAAATTACATTTTCCCATCATTAAACTGGTCAATACACTATTTCTACAGTCCTCACAATGTGAAAACAAATACTGAAAGAACAACTGGCCTCTAAAGCAAGGGTTTACGATGTGCCTGTTTCAGGAGGGTTTGGGGCATACAAGATGTTCTGTTTGAATGCCTTCGATGCTGTCTTCCCCACTGAATACACAGAAGCCCAGCGTGTTACCCAAACACCTCAAGAGTTCTAGTGTCCAGCTAAGTCTTTCTGAGCGTGCATTCCACACTAAAAAACACTCTTCCTGAGCGTCACTGAAGTTTTATTTGTTTCCGAGTTCAGGGACAGTTAGGGACACTCTTAGTCTTCATTTCAATAGTCATCCAGGACAAGACACAGACCACATACGTAGTAATGCTCATGAAATGTGTAGCCTTAAGCTATAAACTCTTGAAATGTAGACTGGTTGGTGTAAGCAAAGAGCATCTTTCCACCAAGTTCCTGCCCAGTCAATCAGGGAGGACAGCTCACGAGGAATTTCACGAGGTTGAAATTCCAAGGGCCCCATCAGTTAACTTCCCAGTAAGTTACTTGCATCAATCAACTTCTAAACTCCAAAGAGCCAAGTGTGGCAGGACTTAGTGGGTCGAAAATCACACCTCACGTCAGCAGCACCTTCAAGAGTTCCCTTGAAAAGTGCTTGCTCCCTCAAACAACTTTTAAAGCAGTGCTTCTCAAACTCCAATGTTCTTTCAAATCACCTGCGAACTTGCTTAAAAACGGATTGACTCAGTGAACTTGGATCAGGGTGCCAGATTGTTCATTTCTAATCAACCCCCAAGTGATTCCCATGCTGAGGTTTCTACCACCACCCTTTGAGAGGCAAGGCCCACAAACTCCCAAGGACATTCAGTTCACTTATATCAGCAACATTCAAAAGTTGTGGCCACAGGTAGTGACAAATCAAGTTGCCTGGGTGTTCTGCGTCCCCTGACAGTCGCCACCAGGTCCTCCGGGCACCTGGCAGGTGCCTCGCCCTCTGAGCGCTCGCGGGTATACTGCCCCGCAGCTGCGCCCCCCTTCTCCCGCCCCGCGCGCGCCCCCAGCGCCGCGCTCACCTTCTCCCGGGTCTTCAGGTACCGCTGCAGCGCCTGCTGCGTGAGCTCCCGGACACGCAGCTGGCCCTCCTTGCAGGGCACCACGATGCCGGTCCTGCCAAAGCACACGGTCACTTTCATCCTGGCCCCCGGCGACCACGCTGGGCCTGGCCGAACAGGTGTCTGGCTCCGCGGGTGCAGCCCCCACTCTCGGGGGACGCGCGGCGCGGGCAGGCCCGGAGACCAGGGGAGCCTCTCTCCGGCGCCCCCTCAGGGCCCGGGGCTCGCAGCAGCGCCCCTTCCCCCCAGGGAGGCGGCCACCGGGGGGCGGGAATCTAGGGTGGGGGAGGCAGCGGGAAGGGCTACCTCCCAGGTGGCCGCGGACGGAGGGGTGGGGGGCCGGACGCGGCGGCACCGCGACTGGGCTCCTCCTCCTGCTCTTGCTGCTGCTCGGGCCCGGCCGAAGCGGCTGCTCCGCGCGCACCAAAGCGAAACTGCCGGCCCGGCCCAGCCCTGGCCCTGGTCCTGGCACTGGCGGCGGCGGCGGGGTCGGGCCCAGGCCCCGGGCTGGAGTGGGCGGTGGCGGCGGCGCGCGGGGCCGGAGTTGGGAGGAAACTTTTGCGCCGGTCCCAACTCCTCCGCGGCGCGCGGCGCTCTGTGCTCCCGCGGCCCCCGGGCCGGCCTGGGCCCGGCTCTTAAAGGGGCCGCGGCGCTCCCCGGCCCCGCAGTTCACTCGGCGGCGCGGAGCCGGGACCGCGCCGGCGGTAACTGGAGCCCGGGAGCCTGGTCCCCTCACTGGGTCTCTCCCTGGCTCTGTCCCTCCGGCACACACATTGGAGCTCTGGGGAATTGTAACGGGACCTGAGAGCTACCCACTGGGGGATTGAAACCGGATCTCATAGAGCACGCTTGAGGGAATAGCTAGGAGACTGCAGAGCTACACCCTCAAAATGAGGGGATTGGAGCCAGATTCAAGGAGAACCCGGGAGCAGGTGCTTCTTGGCACGCCCACCCAAACACCTCAAGGAGTGGCTGCTCACAGGTACTGAGCTGCAGGCATGGCCAAAGGGCCTGTTAGGAGTTTGTCTTAAGCACGACATCTCATCTGCCCTCTGGAGCCCTGAGATCGCTAAACGGAAGGGATTGTTGAAGGTAACGTGGCAGTTAAATCATTCCTTTTACAGAGGAAGACACTGAGTGGTCCCCACAGAAGTCACATCCCAGATCCAGATATGATCACCTAGGCTTACATGTATTCTTCCGAAATGTGCCTCCGGTTTATTTTTATTTTTGACGGGAAAAACAATTTTAAAAAACGAGGTTCATGATTTGGAAGACGTGTATCCATCATCAGCTGAAAGAGGCGTACCTGGAAAAAAAATTCAACAAATAGCACCTGCATCATAATCAGCTCACACACATCAGATGAGCTCCTTTGAGCCTAACATCAACCTTATAAAGTAAATATTTTCCTATTTTGTGATTCAAGAACAGTGCTCAGTGAGGTTAAGGGACTGAGCTGAACGTGTAGTTAGTTATGCTGAAAGGAAATCAGCGGAACTGATTCTTCCGATGCTGAATTTCTGGTCCCCCCAAGGGGTTTTCTCAGCAATCAGGTTCACCCAAAATAACCCTCGGGGCTACAGCATGTGTTTCTCTACAAAAGGGTTTGTTCCTCTGTCAAGACACACTGAAACTGAACTTGAATTGCCCAGGAGAGTATGATAATGCAGAGGAGATTAAATTAATAGGCGTGCAGACTTTGGGAGTTTTCAATTTTTTTAACTCATTCATACATGCCTTAAGTATATATTGGTTGTCTTCCATGCACAGAGTTTTATATATGGGTCAATGGCATCCAAGAGGATTATGCAGACCAAAATGATTCGAAGAAAATATATTAGTATAATTTGGTAGCAAATCCAATACAAACTAATTTAAATAAACTAAAGACAGAATCTGTTTCCTCCTAAAATTAGAAGATCCAAAGAGCACTCGTTTGAGGCAAGACTGAAGCCGATGTCCTCCGGGGCCACGTCTCTCCATCTTTTGTCTCTGTGCTCCTCTGTGTTGCCTCCAGTCTCAGGCAGGGTCCCCTGAAAGGAGGCAAAGATGGCCACTGTAAGTGTTGCATGTTTATAAAGCCTTAAAGCCAGCCATCTCAAACATCAGTAACTCTTTCTCTGGTGAGGATTTGCATATCCAACCTTGAGTCTCATACTCTCCCTCTGGCGCGATGAATGCAGTGATGGTTCGCCAGACCTCACCTGCCGCTAAATCCTATGGACTGAGACTAGGGGAGCGGGGTGAAGCCTCAACAAATGGGACAACAAAAAAACATGCATTCACCACAAAATGTAAGATTGCTTCCCAACTCTCAAGGAGCTTACAGATAGGAGGGAAGACAAGGCCTACAGGTATGAGAATTTAAATAGGAACTATACAACAACAGTGAATTTAATAATGCTATTGAACATTATTGACTTAGATATCTGCCAGGCACTGTTTTTGGTAAATATAAAACATATATATAAAGATGTATAGGTATTGTGTAGCATGTGTGTATATATATGCACACAAATGAATCATATATTATGTATTTATATTTTTCCTTTACAATAATCCTATAAGAGAGGTAATTTTGTTATCGCCCTTGTAGAGATGAAGAACCAAGACCAAGAGAGGTTAAGGTCACAGTCTTAGAAAGTAACAGACTGGATTAGAACCTAGGCAGTCTGACACCAGAGTCTTCAGTAACTGTTATGCTGATTTTACATGGAAAGTATCAAGTGACTAGAACAAACAAACAAATAAATACTAATGCTGTGGATTAATGTGTGACCCTTTTAATATCAGATACTATATGAACATGCAGAATGGTATAGAGCAAATTTTTAGCTGATGAAATAACTTTGCATGTTGCCATTCTTTATGCTTCATGCCTTTTCTCTTCCCTTCACAGTTGCTCCAGGATCCTCCTCTTCTGCTCAGATAATACATAGCTCCCGCTCTTCTTCACACCACAAACTTCCTCTTGGCCCAGCTTCAGCCCCTCCCTAATACCTACAGCCCTGACTTTGAGAATGTCTTGGTTTCGAGAAGCCCTAAGTGAGGCATGAAGAATGCCCAGACTCTCCAAATTCCATTCCCAGAAAGACTGGAATCAGGTCTTGGGAGACGCAGCAGAGGTCGTGCTGAGATGAAGGAAGTCGTGAAACTAGGCATGGATATGAACAATGCATAATGCAATCCAGCACACCATGGAGTGAACTTTAATGACCCCTAGTTAGTAATTATAAGAAGAGTTTAGTGTTTATATTTCATGTTTATTAAATAGCCAGAGTTAATTTCTTATTCAGCTTTATCATAGCATACATAGAAACATTTTGTCATATATTAAGAAATTATATAAAAGAACATAGTTGCAACACACAGACATTCATGCCCAGCAAATTCCTAAATCAATATTTCATGTCCCATGGGATTTCCTGGGCAGAAGACAATAAATAATTTGCCTTGATTAATCCTAGAGGATTCTAGGCCTGGGTTCCATTTTCTTGTTTTGCCTGTTGGATGGGTAAATATTGCCTGTGGTGTGATATTTTCCCATTTGTTATCCAACAGCTTAGCAAGCTTTGGAGTAGCCAGTGAAAATGTGCTATGCAAAGACCAAAAATACTGACCAATATTATTAGACTGCTCTGCCTTATAAAAATTCTAACTAAAATGTCAGATACCATTAGCTGTATATCGAATAAAGTATGATAATTTTTAATACAGAGTTGACTAGTCATTCATTCTGATGATTTGCACTATTAAAACAGAAAATGTTTTCACCTTTCAATGAATTATTTATAACAAGCATTATTTATCACAAAAATTAATTGAACTGGAGACAATTTTCTTTTTAAGACCCTTGGAGCAATTAGTACAATAGATTATGTTCTTAGCTTCCTTATGAAAGTAGGTGTCACAGTGATATCATAAGAGAAGAAAGAGAAAAAGGAGTGTGATTTTTAATTCTGTCCTTCCTTATTTAAGAGCAAAGGATTTGGCAATAACAATGTTTTCTTGAGATGTTTATCTCTAACTGCCTGATGGCATTCATTCGTTGACTGTGTCTTCATTGACTGTTTCTGTAGCTTACCTAAGGCACAGATAATAATGCTCTACATTGTGGACTATCAGCCTTTTGACAGTTCCTTATTTATTCCTGTTTTATAGGTAAGACTCACAAGTCTCCACAATGACTCAGCTAGACCACCCCTCCTTATACTGCATTCCACTCTAGGAATTCTAATGTCCTACCTTGACCTATGTTTTCTTGAAAAGGACTTGAATCATGAAATGAGTGTCTCTTTGAAAAAAAAAAAAACAAATAAAAATAAACAAACCAGCCAAAAGCAAGGAAACTGTTCCAGTGATGTTGCATTAGCAGTTGATCAATATCTGGATGCTCTTTCCTCACTGTGTGGTCTCCTTCTCTGAAGCAGGTTAGGGCCCATGAGCACTGAACACTAGTAAGGGGTCCTACTCAGAGTAGCACCTGGTCCTCTCACCAGTAGGCTTCAATGACAGACTTAAGAATGAGGCCAACAACGACTAGGAATGCTCTCAAACAACCTCAGTTATCCAAGGACAACTCCTGAACTGAGGTGAGGTTTCAATCAAGAGTTCTCTTTTTAATCCTGCCCACTTTTCCTAAGGCCTCCTTGTATTGCTCATGCATATCCCTTTACCTGGGGAAGTGTGTGGGTGTTCATGTAATTGATAGGAGGTAGAGGGAGAGCTGATATTTGGTACCAGATGCTTCAGTGTATAAAAGGATTGGAGGCAGAACTAGTAAGGTTGGATAGACCTATGTTCCAAAGTACTCCGCCACTTACCAGCTATGGAGTCTTTAGGCAAGCATTACTGCATTCCTTTTACAAAATGGGATGATAAGCCTATTTAAAATATAACATACATAAGGAAACCAATATATAGTAAGCAAAATATATTGCCCTCCTTCACTTCCCATTCCATGTACTACCATTTCTAAATGCCACTTATTTTCACTGGGCCTGAAGCTACTTGTAAAAGGAAACAAAGCAATTGATACTTCGAAGCTACATATCATCATCGTCAACAATTTCTGAAGCCCAAGTATATAACTTGCTCTGTAATGAAGGTGTCACACTCATAGCAAAACCAGCACAATCTGTGTTATATTTAACAGTCTACATACGTAATTTGATGTCCAAAGAATAATCCCATGACATAGGAGTCTAGTGCCTGAGAATCATAGAATTACAGAGCCAAAAGGGGCCTTGGAGACTATACAATCTCATTTTATATTTGAGGAAAATAAGAGCTGGAAAGGTCAGGTGACCAATGAAAATGGGGACCCAGGTCCTCCAGTTTATTGTCCAGTGCTTTCTTTACTTCTCTGCCTGCCTGGTAGCAGAACTTAAAACAATAGCTATTTGACCAACATTGGCTCAAGCCTCTGAAGTTTCATTAGGCCAAGGGGTGATGTAAGGAGCTCATTCTTCCATTTATTCCTGAACTTTCGATTTAAACTTAAAATTCTGAACCCTTGTTCATACCACAATTGTAAATCTCTAAAAGATTTGCTAAGTGTTAGAAAATAGAAAACCATCAAAGGATTTTAAGCAGGGCAGTGGGCAGG